ATTTACAACTTGACAGACTTTGGCAATGTAGTCTGTTGTGTCCTTTTACTTTCCATACACCTTCACTATAGAGAAGTCATCAAGTTTAAGTTGTGTGTCCTCGCTGAAATAAAACTAATATGGAAATTATAAATAAATCTTTCTAGCAACTTTGGAGCTAGATCTTAACTTCTTCACACTTTAAAGCACTGGTATCGAAAAACGTTGACGAGACAAATAGAAATGGCCATTTTTCTTGTAGTTTCTACTTGACCCACAAATTCAAAATAATTATGTCGCAAAAAGAGATCAATGACTTAATGTCAAAAGCATGTATTCAATCACTGTAATGTGCAATGGCATCTACAACAGTGTTGCCAACCTGAACAATGTCTGTACCTTGAAAAATAATGTCCAAAAAGACAGCATTGAGAAATTTCTGATTTGTTGGTTAGTTTCTTTGTCAGGCACATACAAAATTTTCAAGTAATTCTGTTCCTATTCACAACAAATTATGATAATTTGGGGTGAAAGCATCTCAATTGCAAGAAAGCAAGCTATTATTTTTCAGTGAAGATCATACTTCTTTAATAGAACATAATTTTTCTTTCAAATCATATAATTGTGAAATAGTGATCATATGCATCAGAATGCTCACTACACTGCTATTTTTACTTTCCTGGATGTTATATATATAACAGAGGGAAAGTTGGCAATCAGTCAAACACCAACATCACCATGCAAGATTTTTACATTTTTGGGTTCAGGACACATGTAAAAAAAATTGAGGGATTTTTCTGTATGTATGTATGGATGGATGTTTGTATGGGGGGAGTCAAGATTTTGCTCACTCTTTGAAGCTTAATAATTCCTGTGATTTTTATTAAAAATTTCTGAAATTTTGCAGGGAGGTTTGTTTATTAGGGGGGATTGAGGCTATTAAATTTGGTAATTAAAGGTCAAGGGGATGGAGAAGATAATGGGGCTCATGCATATCTCCAATAGGGTCAGAATTAATGGCAATTTTACAAGTTATTACCACTTACAATTTTTTATAAAACCCATCCCTACTCTCAAAATTAAGCTTTTTGTCATTTTATAATTGTTAAAAATAAAAAGATTTTTAATAAAATATCATAACAGATGGCACCTCAAGTGTTGCCAGGAAAGTTAAGCAACTTGCTGCTGGATTTTTTCCATTTAAAGAGGGAAAAAAAATCACTTTAAAAATGGCTTATTTTTAAATTATTGAAAGTATTCTCTATGACGAGAAAAAGTTATTAGTTATTGCCCCATAACTGCTATAAAATTTATTTACTGAAAAACAAATCAGTTTGATTTGGATCGTTTGTCAATCTCTAACAGAAATCCCTTATGCTGACAATCACAGGATGACACAATCATATGTTGCCGTATTAAAATAATTTGATAAATCATAATAAAATCACATTAGCAATACTTTAAATTTTATAATATAAAAATATAATTTGAAATTTCTCAGAAATTATAATTTGAAAAGAAAAAGTTTTCAATAATTTATTGCTTTCTTTATATTAAGAGTTCCTTTAAAGTCCAATTAATTTCTGTAAGAATTATAATGTTTTAAAGGAAATGTTAAATCAAAAGAAATTTTTAAAAAACTGACAAAAGAAATGACTTGACAAAAATCTTTATAAACAGATGTGATGCTTCTTTTACATTCTTATTAACAACTTAAATGGAAGAAAATTTAATTTCACTATTCTTAAGCATTTTAAAAGGAAAAAGGTTACAGTAAACTTTTAATAAATTATTTGTATTGTTTACTATTGTTTATATTTGAACAACTGCTTTTTAAGGATAGCCAAAAATTTGTTTGTTGGAAGTCAAAGGTTTGATATCCTTAAAAAGCGGTTGTTCAAGTGATAAATATGGTACCTAGTTTCATAAATTATGAAGATTTGTATTGTTTCTTTAATAGAACTAAAATTTTATGCTTCTAAAATATAACGGTAAAATTCAGAAAAAAAAAAATTAAAGGTACTTAATATCAATAATAATAAAGATTTTAAAAAAATGTTCTGAACTCCAAAAACTGGGCTATACTATCAATACAATATAAGTAAAATATCCCTACCTTGATATTCACCCAGCTAATTTAAGAAAAAAAAAAAAAGTTCTCTTTCTACTTCTAAGACCTTGCTTCAGGTCACAAATTTCAAATAGATGGAATACCTAATGTTTTGATGTCTGAACGTGTCAAATGTAGAAGAGCTCACACATATATTCAAATATAAAATCCTCTGAAATTGACCAATAGGATACATCTGAGTGTAAAAATCAAACAGTTCTTATAATGACATATCAAACTGGGTCCACCATACTTGCAAAACCACTGCCCTCTCGATAAATGCAAGGAGGAGGAAGTTAAACATGATTCACAATGGGCTACATTAATTAGAATGATGGCAAACCCAGACCAACTCAAGGTACTAGAGGCACTTGAGATTTTTTAAGCAGAGAAGCAGGGACAATGTATAAACTTTGAGGAGAGAAATGCATTTCACAAGCATGGCAGGCCCTTTTTGATACATCATTATGAAAACCACTTTATGACTTTTACACTTGGACGCATCCTATCGGTCAATTTAAGAGAATTTTAAATTTAAATTTACATGTGAGCTCTTCTATGTTTGACATATTCAAACATTGTTGGCCATTCCATCAATTTGTGACCCAAAGCAGATTTTAGAAGTAGACCAAAAATGTTTTTTTTTTCTTTTTCTTTCTTTCTGAAAAATTAGCTGTGTGAATATCAAGGTAGGGAGTTTTTACATTATAGATTAAAAAAAACACATTATATTATTGATTCATTAATAGAGGAGAAGGTGGTATTATGGAACCCCATTTTCATTTTAGTGAATTGTAAACAAGGTATCATAACTACACCCACATTTTTTGTGCGAAAAGTACTGGTAACTATTAAACTAAATGTTCCTAATTGGATTTTTCGCTAGTGTAACTATAAGTATGGTTTTTGAAGGCTTTTGTACAAAAAGTCAGAAAGTAGGCTTAGAGAAAATCGGGTGGAATATGGAACCTTACTGTATGTTTTCAAAAATGCTTTAATGTATCCAAAAACAAATAGGAAAGTACAAAGAATGTTAAATAATTATAAAATCATTTATTCCAATGTATTTTATTGAAAAAATGCTTTTATAATAGAAAAATATGACCCCCATCAACAATATATATTCCAGCAGTTCTTTTCGATATTCTCAGGAAGAATTGGCTTTCTACCTAGTGTCTTTTTCACAAATTGCTCCGGACAAATGTCTGCTTGCAAATAGAGAGTTTGGAGGAGTTGGGTTCCATATTAAAAGCACCAATGAAATCACCATCTTGAATTAACTTATGTCTGTCAACACCAATTTTAAAAAAACGTGAACATCACACAGATTAATATGTACCACTAAGTCTCTGGAACAGAATACATGCACCAGTGAACCTACAAGTACACAATTTAAGTTTTAAAAATAATTAAATTCACTTAGCATTCAAAACTTTCGAATTTTGAAAAAGACAAATTTGCTGATTCACTACGGACAACCATTTAACTGAAGTGAAATGGGTTTTCCCCTTGCTATGGATGTCTGCCTAGTTCAGTTCAGCCACAATCCGCTACAATTCGCCTTTATCATCAGTTCGAAATGGAGTGGTTCCATAATACCTGCAGTGTTCCATAATACCACCTTTTCCTCTACTATTATAAATCTTTCCCATAATAAGAATGTTCATTAGCTCTATATATATATAGAGCTAATGAACATTCTTCCTATTTTTCTTCCTACCTATATATATATATATATAGGAAGAAAAATAGTTACATGTTATGAAGCAGAACATAATATATAGTGTAAGGACATGTATTAGAAAAATTACATGTTTAAATTGTTGTAATCTATTTGAAATTTGACATTTTTGGAAGAAATTTTCAGTTTTTATTCAATTCTATTTTATTGCTTACTGACATTATCCTATCATTGCTTAGCTACGGCAGTGTAGCAATACATATTCAAGATCCAGCACATCAGGTCGTTTGTTATTCTGGAATATACTATAAATATGTAAATTTCACAAACCAATTAATGTGACTTATTTTATTTTATTGTTAGCTGTTCTAAATAATTTAATCCCACTGTTTTTGTTATTTCATTATTATTTAATTTTTTCACTAAATTATTATTATAAATTATACTCAAAATTTTTAAATCATTTCACTATGCAGTACAGGGAGTTCATTTAAATTAAATGTTTAAGCTATAACTGAAAACAGAAAAACATTAATTTTCTCAAATTATTTTTGTTATCAAAATTAGCAGAAAGTGTCTACAGGACAGCTTAAAATTTTTTTAGTCAGCTAAAAATATACAAAAATCTAATTTTGAGTGTGAAAAATGATTTATAGCATAAGAGCAAGTTATCTGAAAGTAAAGTATCTAAAAAGTCGAGGACGGCACACAGTTGATATTAAACTGAAAAAAATCTTATTTATTAAAGGAAATGAATATATTAAGTAATGCATATCAAGAAATTGGCCTTAGTGAATTATTTTGAGTTATATGAGGTATAATGCTAATTATTTTTGAAATTTATATTATCAAATATTNATTATCCTAAAAGGCTTAACTGAACATGCTCCATTTTTTTATTACATATATGCAACATATTTAATAAATATTTATATATTATAATAATATATCAAATTTTATAAAAAAAATACATTAATACATTTTGAATAAAAGATTTTAATTCTAATATATTTGTTATCTTTTATTAAATGATGATAAAATATTATTAAAAATTCAAATTAATGAGATTTTTTTACAAATACTTATTCATAAAAAATATAACAACTAAATAAATGTGACGAATTTGATATGTTTATTTTTTACAATAATATTATTTTAAGTTATTTACCAATAATTTATAACGTTATTTAACTGGTAAAATAATATTTTTAATATATATATATACACACACACAACATTTCAAAGAAACTGATTTACAATTACAATTATTATTATTACAAAATTTATAAAAATACCGAAAATTATTTATTCAAAATTTCCCTTAAAAATTTTTCTAATCTTTTATCCTAGTGGTTGAGTTTCTTTCAATAACCATTGATGGGCTTGAAGCTTTCCTTGTCTTTTTAATTCTTTACCGATAACATCTCTGCAGAGCTGATGATAATTATCCAACCACTCAAACTAAAAGAATATTTTATAAATTAAATTTTTGAATCATTTTAAAACAGATGTTAAAACATTTATATTAATATATCATTTAATTTAGTTATTTAATTAATTTAAATCATTTGTCCATAAAAATTACACATTTTAATTTTATTTTTCTTTGAATACACTATGTAATGGAAATTTTATTGGGAAAACAGATTTCAGTTATCAGAACAGTTGTCATTGACCTACAGTAGTAATGAAATGATATTCAATATCAAAAGCACTCAGCAATTAAATAAAAAGAAACAAAACACATTTTTTTGCCGAGAAATAAATATAATTGTAAAAAACAAATGTTTTCAGCCAAATTAATAGGCCATCCTCAGGTCGAAAACGGAACGTAAATGTTCCATGAATAGAACATAAAAATTTTAAATCAAAAATTTTTTACAAGAGAAAAATAATGGAAGAATATATAAAAATTAAAATAAAACAAATAATAAAACAAAAATAACATAAATCTTCAATGTACTAATTCTGGTCCAAGTTTCTAGTAAATTTCTTAACCAAGAAATGATATTCTATCAGTTTTCAGATTTGATGATAAAAGTTTAAATTACTAAAAATATTGGCTAATTATAAATTGGATTAACATGTTTTATTCTATTGTTGGATTTAGTATCAAAGTCTTTAATACAGTATTATATTATCATAGTAATACAAACACTAAATTTTGTTTAATATCAAATTTTGTATTTATTAAAATTTTTTATATTCATATTCAAAACTAGGTCACTACTTTAAAGGACTTTGATATTAACTATATTAATCAATGCAATAGTAAAAATTCTAAAGGTTTGGAACCCCCAGACAAATAATGTAACTACAAGAAATAGAATTAAAAGTTTGACATTCTGTTTTGGTTGCTAATTTTTAACACAAACATTTTTGCTTTATTGAGCTGAGTGAGCAAAGCTTGTGTCCAATGACATTTGAATGTAAATTCAAATTTGAAAAGTGTCATTTGAATGTAAATTCAAATGTCATTGGATTTAAATAAGCCCCCAAAACTGTTAGATCAATCTTGACCAAATTTGGTCCAGATGACAGGTCCAGATCCATGTGTGTCGTAAGCTATTTGGAATCCTTGTCAGAATTCTGTTGTGTCCTCGAGGAATATCACAGACAAACTCTGCCATAGATTTAAGCCAGATTTGAATGCTTCAATGCATTTGCAGCAGTTTGATTCTGTTTACAATTGTAAACAAACATGTTACATAATTGCTGAATATTCTTCAAATTTTAAACAATTTAACAAGACAATGGAGTCTCAACTCCAGCTTAACAGCTCTTTATTCATTTGTTGTATTTGAAAACATTGCTAGCTGACAATAGTGAATAAGCTGAAAAGTTACATACCAACTGAATTACGTTTCAAAGCAAAGTTTCAAAGGAATTGTTTCCAAAATCAACTGCTAAATCAGATATCGTTGCTTCTATTTGAAACTAAATAAACTCTAGATTTAAGCATAAATCTCGCTTGCTCAATTTGCAGGTACTGAAAACAAATGAAATCCTAGTTGTATACTGCAATTAATGTAATGTTGATAATGAACATTTCTTTACATTTTTCTACAGATATTTAAGATTTAAATGTGAAATTAAAATAAATTAACATTTCTTAAATTGTGTATTAATCAGGGCTGTCGAGTTGGTAAAAAAACACTCGACTCTGGGAGTGTTTTTTACCGAATTTTAGTAGGCTGACTCTGGCAAAATTAAATACCAAGTCATTTTATGGGAGGGCAGAGGCACTCATAGAGGGTACCCGACTCTGAATTCTGAAAGGAGCCTAGGGCATTTACTCAAATACTTTTATAGTTAGTATTTTTAATATTTAACTTACATTAATATTTATTTGTATAAAAAAATTAATTTTTAACAAATATTTAATACAAGGAGAAAGGGGGCAATAAAATTCTACATCTACATATATTCAACAGCATTTCACTTCAATTTCACCCTTCCAGAAGAGTTAGTCCAACTAAAAAGTGTGCAATCTAGCTAGCTACTTTAACCTCTTGTTCAGAAAAGAAAAATATGTACTCCGATCAATTAATCTGGCTCATTCAGAAAAATAGAGTACTTATTTAAAGCAGGGATAATAAAGGAATGATTCAAAAATATTCAAATTCAATTGGATCAAAATAATTTAACTACTAAACACAAATACAGTAGAACCTCGATTATCCGGATTGTTCAAAATAAACAAAACTTTTACGAATTTGCTGATTTGCACTTGGCGAATTACAACACTGTTTATGTATGTGATGGAATGCATAACTTTTTTTGTTTCAACAACGTCTCACCCAGCACAGTGGTCGTAAACTCTTAAATATATTTTACGTCATAATAAAAATATAACTTGACATACGTATTTATAAATAATTTATATTCAAATTACATCATTTCTATGACCAAGGGCGGCGTAAGGCGTGGGCCACCACCTATGCCTCGCAATCCGAAGGGCTTCACGCCTCGAAGGTTTATGCATTACTTAAAAGCCGCGAATGCAACGAAAAAATTTTACTTGTCATAAAACAACAAATAATTTGTCAAATTTTTATTCATAAAAGTCAGTTTCAACTGCTTTTTATTTTATAAAATCTGTCTTCTTGCGCCACCAGAGGGCCTTTTAAACAATAGGTAGTCTGTTAGTGCTGGTCAGTAGTAGTCCAAATTCAATACAAACATTTGTTTCTTGAAAATTTGATCACGGTTTAAATACAGTATTTACTTTTAATATTACAGATATGTCATAGAAAAGAAAACGTGTTGTATTATCATTAAAAGACAAATTAAAGTATTTGTTTCGATTATCCGGATTTTTCCTTATCCGTATTACCTTCATCCCCAATTAGTCTGGATAATCAAGGTTTTACTGTACTACAAAGAATACTACATATTTAATAAATTTTGTATTTAAAATAAATGAATTATAACAAAATACAAAAAGATTTTAAAAAATTAAAAAAATTAATAAATAACATAATAAATTTTCTTTCATTTAAATAAAAAAACTAAAGTAAATTTAAAATGTGGGAGTCAGAGTTGGAGTTGGCACATTTTTTCCGACTCCTCTAACCAGAAATTCCTTCTGACTCCGACTCCACAGCCCTGGTATTAATAACTAATGTCTTGAAAACTCTTTAAATTCTTAATATAAATGATAAAAAAAACTTATCTAGTAAATAAATAATATATAAAGATCTACCTCTTCTGCAGTAAGCATAGATGGCTCAAGTAATTTTGTTTGGATAGGTACTAATGTGATGATTTCAAATGTCAGAAAATCAAGTTCTTTAAAATTATACTGAAATTTATAATTATAATTATTAATTCAAAAATTACAAATAAAAATTTTAAGAAATTCTTTTACTTTTGTATCAGCTTTTTTAACAATCATAAGGCTTTCTATTCTGATACCAAACTGGCCATCTTCATAATAACCTGGTTCTAAATTATAATTTAATATTGTATTACTATGTATGTATGGATAAGGCAATTTTATAAAATAATAATAATGTATTTGCAATACCATTAGATAAAACCATGCCTTCTTGTAAGCCAGGATCATCGGGACGATACTTCCAACTTATACCCATCGGTCCTACAAAATTCAATAATTTTGTTTAATCAATTTATAATATAATGACTGCATATTAATTTTTAACCTACATAACAGACATAAAAATGTATCATATTTTGTCACTGAATGATTTGTGAAGGGACTGAAAAGAGGGAATCATTAATTTCCTATCAGAATAGCAAAGAGTCCTTTTTACATATGGTGGTGGAGATGGAGGCACAGATAATAAATAATTTTTGTAAAGGCATTTTGTAAGAAAAACAAAGGTTTTCTTACGATGGAAAGGATGAGTCCTTTCTCAAAAGCAAACAAATGACCCAATATATCTCGACAAACTGTTTTCCTTTGATATTCACTGGTTCATCTGTTGGGCAGCCCTGAGGCAGCGACAAGTTAATGTTGAATGGTTAGTCACATGTTGAACTCTGTAGAATTTGTCATAGAGGGAGATGACGCCACTGACGGCCACGATGATGATGATGATGACACACTCTGTTGATGCTGTATGAGTCTTGACACTTATGAGCATGTTGTGTCTTTGAACACAAGGGTTTTTATAAGTTTCACCCTTAATTGCCAACTTTGATTGGTCGCTCTCCCTCATCCTCACTTTCCAAGTAGTCACCTGCCTATTACCAATGTAACAGGATTCCAACTTGGATCACAGGAGAGGTCAAACTTGATGTGAATCTGATCTCCCAACTGGAGATGGATGATCTTAGGACTCACATTTCTCTATGACTTTTTCTACTATTTTTTTTTCTGTCTTTAAAAATAATAATTTTTACACTAATTCTAGTGTAGGTTTGGACCTGTCCAGGACATCACAAATTCATTACCATTAATGACAAATTAATCATATAGAATTGCACAGAACAATACCATGACAATTATTATTTCTACAAAACTAGAGATAGAATTATATAGTTGCCAATTCTTCATCTTTTGGGCTGAGAATCTATGTTTTAAAGCAGTTGTCAATCTGAGTTAGAAGTTCTCCACATTTTTGAGATAATAATATAATTCCTTTTTATGCATTGTCTTCACAAACATGGCTTTATGACTAATACTAAAAATCCCATGGAGGGTTTAGGTTTTTTAGAAATTGTTTGCTCTCTAATGTTGACATTTTCTTTGAATTCAAAACTGCTTGAAATATGAGAATTTCAATGGAAGTTTTAAATTTCTGATAAGATTATGAAAAAGTACAATGTATGAAATTTTTGTCTCAAAATATGGTAGATTTACAAGATTTTCCACACTTTGGTATAAGAAAGCCAATCTGAAAGTCTAGAAACATTGAGTTCTTTCTCAACACAATTTTCACATTGGCAATAATATATTCAGTATCAATGTCAACTGAATGGCCAAGTGGTTAAGAGTATAGTTACAGTGGATGCATATGACAAAAAATTTTTGACAGGTTTGTTCATCTGTTTTGATCTGTTTCTTTGAACAGATCAGATACATCAGATCTATATCAAGTTATAGGACATGCGTATTTGGATGAGTACGTATTCTACATACTTATCCAAATACGTATTCTATGCATCTATATTGACATAGATGATTTATATTACTTGGAAAGCCCTTATTATTACAACATACTTTAAATGGAACATACTTATAAATGAAAAAATAGAATATATGAACAAAATGAAAAAGGAAAAAAAATGGAAAGTACAACACATTATTTCATATTTCAAAAACTTCTTAGTCAATCAAACAAGATCTTTGAGTATTTTAGAATATCACCAGAAACATTGAGTCAAATGTTTCTGGTGATATTTAATGTAGTCTCAATGAAATTGAAGAAAATATCTCTAAACAATCAATTTTTTGACATATATTGTAATGCACAACAAACACTTTTCATACATTTCCAACACTCACTGAATACTTTAAACAAGCATTTTCAGCCTAATTTACAGGCCTGCCTCAGGTTAGAAGCCATTCAAATCTTGAATTATTTCATTTTATAACATTAAAGGGCTTAAAGCAGTCATGGCAGTGAAAAAAAGTGAAAAAGAGAGTTCACACAGAAAAAAAGCTAAGAAAGCTAATAGTGTTAAAGTGAACTAAAAGAGGCATTATTAAAAAAAACAAACATTTTGTATCAATAACATTGTATATGGTATTAGACTGATTTTTAATTGGACTGAAAAAAATATGAAAATAGTTAGGCTGAGTTTATACTCTAGAAAAGTGACCAGTAAGACTGCATTAAGTTTTCATGTGCCTTGTACAGCATTCCTACTATTATACAGCAAAGGAAATGGAAAAGTAATATAACTACCAGAATGTGTCTCCATATAACATATGAAATTTCAAATGCCATTTATTTCAAGGTACATTTTTTGATTTCTTGTTAAAAAAAAATTTGTAATTAAAGATGATTTTCTTTTGTTTAAGTCATGCTGCAGTTTCTGCACTTCTCTTGTTTTCTCCTCTTCATCACACTGCATTTTCTTCACACCAGAGTTAGCAATTCACTATAAAGTTTATGTATTAAAGGATCACTGCACTGAAAATGCCCAGTAAACTTTGTGAATAGTTCAGCACTAGATATTCCCAAAGAGTTCAGCTTTGATGGTAGAACACTTCAATGACTTTGAGATTATCTTACATGAAACACCATTCATTAAGCTGGAATTCTTGAGGAATGTGCTTTAGGAAGTATAATATGAGTCCTTCCTATTGTTTGATCAGTCATTTTGCTGCAGGACCAAACGTCAGTCATCTAGTTGATGAATACTTCATAAATTTGTTGCATGGCATATTAATTTTCTCTTGAACTTCTGTGTATTCATTCCTCCTAGAGGGCCACCCATCAAAAAAGCTGTGTATTACTTATGATGAGATCACAATCATCTCTGCCCAACTCTTTCAGGCCTTTCAAAAAGGTATTGTGGATTGTATGAATGCTGCAAGTCCCTATGTTGATGAGGCCTTTTTTTGCGAGTTGTCAGAATTTCCTCATTTATGAGATGCAATACTTTCTTGTTTACATTTGCATCCAATCATCAGTAATTTATCAAAAGGTAGATAGGCATCTTCAATTGCCAATATTATTTTTGATTTAATTGTTTCAGCATCTGTATACCTGATAAATGAGGTCTGGAGATGCCTGCAGACAACTTTCTGTTGCCCCTCTGACCAGTATATAATCAGTATTTGCAGTTATTTTCTGTCTTCTACATTGCAAGTCTCATCATAAGAAATGCTGTAATATGACCATTGTGCATTATCTACCATTTGATCAAAGAAATAGGGGCCAAAGCTTCAGTGATTAAGTATCTCATTTTTTGATGTGACAATAAGAATTCTTTTAGAAGATTGTCTGCACACTTGGCATTGACTGTCTCCTTTATATCATAACATGATACAAATGAATAATTGCTGGTTGTCATTTTCATAGTCCATATAAGCTCTGCAATGTAAGCACCATCTTTTGAACTACAAAGTTGAAGCACTGGTTGTTGCAATAATTGGTGTTCTGAACTGAGTCTACAACATTGCTCACACTAGCAACACTTTCAGCACTAATACTTTGACATTAAGACATCTGAGGGGCAGCATCAGTCTCAACTGCTTGGGACTAAAGGCTTCATTGTATTTATTTATATGTTTCTTCCAGCTTGAATGTTGGAAGATTGCAGTATGGGGGTGTGCTAGTCACTATTTTGCTCCTGAATGCATTTACAAAAATAAATAAATAAATTCCACATAGGAAGTGAAAAAAGCAAGTTTGTTTCAGAAAAAGTTAAAAAAGAGAGGAGCTATGAAAAGTGAAAAAAGTGAGTCACTTTAAGCCCTGACACTACTACTTTGTAATTGGATGGTAGAATACAATGTACTTTATATTCTACATTTTTACTACCTGTCTAGTAGGAAAATCCATTATTACAAGCCTATTATTATAATCAATGCTGTGCCAATAACATATCAAACTGAAACTGATATATGTTTACAATATCAATATAAAACATTTATTAGTTTCAGTTTGATATATTGGTTATGAGCACAGTATTAATGGTGAAATCCAAAATTTTCAACATACTAATGCAATTTTCTGATAACTGGAGAAATTATTAAGTTAAAAGAGTTAAAAATTGATAATTATTGATGGCAACACATATCAATATTCAGCACTGTCAATAAAAAGTCAGTATTTAATCAGTTTTGGTATTTATCTAGAATAGTGATATCATAAACATTAGTTTCAGTTTGATAGCTCAGTTATTAAAACAATATTATCGATAATATTCTATTTATTGAAATTTTTTCAATTATCAATATATTGAGTGAATCTCAGTATCAAATCCAATATTGATATCAAGTTTTTAGTTTAGCACAGTCCTAATTGTGATAAAGAGAATGAAGATTAAATAAATGCTTAAAACGCTGCAAATTTTGTTGAAAATCTTTCTACAAATTTTTATTTTCTTTTGTTTTTTCATTTTTTAGCCTTTGTATTCAAAATCATCGTCATCTATAATCTAAGATTGGCAAATATGGAATTATCTAAATATTTTCTGTACCTTTCAAGACTATTTTATTTGCCCAATATGTCTTTCTTTGTTCAAAATTTTGATTTTAATTCATCTGTCTGTCTGACACACACACACGCTAATATAGGATGTAAATATGTTATAGATATTAGATACAAGTATGCACATATATTTAATATATAAGTTTTTTAAATATTACCTTCATGTACATTTAAGTAAGATCCAACTCCATGTCCTGTGCCATGAAGATAATCCAGTCCTGCATCCCATAGAGCTTTCCTAGCTAATGTATCAAGCATTTGACCTATAAGAAAATATGTAACAAATTTTTCAAATATAAATATTAATTTTCTAAATTTTTTCCTGTAATAACTAATATTACAATTCGGCTAAAATAAACACATGCTTTACTTTAACCAGAGCATTCTTCTCTCGAACATTACAATCTATTTATGTATTTTCTGAGAATTCTTGTCACACACATGGTACATAATACACTGGAATGCAAACTTAAACAATGTTTTTTTTTTGGCCATAACTCCACAAGAAATAACCTGAGAGACATGAAATTCAAAATACAGAAACAGTATTTTGTTTTTAAAGGATGAAGAAAGCATACTAGTACAAAAACGAATAGAATGCATACAGTGTGGAATCAAAGCCTTCTTCTTATTGTAGTCTTGCACTGCGTGCGCTGACTGCACACATTTTGTGTGCCCTCATGTCACATGTGCTGTCTTCCTGCATATGAATTACCTTTCTACTGAATTGGGTGTTCGTTGTAATGATTGCAACAAGTCCTTTCCTACAATTTCATGGTTGTCTGCTTAAAAATTACATCATTGCTTAAGTTTTGCACACACGTGTATATAAAAAATATGCTTCAATTAAAAGTAAATTTTTGAAGAAATGGTCCATTTACAATATATAAATTTCCTAAGAATTCTTATCCCAAGTACAATTATTTGGTAACAATAGCCAAAGTTTGATTATAATAGATGGGTTATTTTAACTAATTCTGCTTAGTGTTTTGGGACTGACTGATTATGATAATACAGTGGAACCCCGGTTAACAAACTTTTATTTTGCAAAAAATTTGTCTCGGATAACGAACAAAATTCAGATAACGAACGTAACAGTATTTTGTGTCAAATTTTAGTTGGTGTTAGGCATGCGTGAGTTAAGCATTGCTTTTCCGAGTGTTTGTGCTATGCTTCTTTTTTCAGTTTTGTGATTTATATATTTAATCAATATGGCATCCAAGAAAGAAAAAAGTCATAGTGGCAATAGAAAATGACAACGCAATATAAACAACAATGCGCTATCGCATTTGAGAAAAATTTTGATTAAAATAGTAAGACAATCAACTTTAGATCAATTTCTTGTTCCTTACGGAAAGAGTTTGTTTGTTAAGTTATAGCAACACAACACTTGGGCGATCTGCCTAGGGGAATGCCTTCTGGGAGGTGTTTTTAAGGGAAATTGGCCCCTATTTAGGCGTTACAGACGTGGAGAAAACCCGGAAAACTCCACATGGCCAGCCAGTCTGAGCGAGGTGCAAACCCACGAACGAACTCCTCATGTTCAAGGTACGAAGACCACTAAGCCACTGGTGGGTATTTTTACTGAAAGAGACTTTGACTTGAAGAATCTTCCAATGAAGTGCTACCCATTATTTTTTGGAGGGATTCCCCTTCTAAGCATTAAGGTTTGTATATCTCCACTTTTCTGCCACCAACTACAAACAACGAAGGTATGTACAGTGCTAGTTTATTAAACAAAGTTTACATGTTTGTTGCTGTAATGATACATACTATGTTTTCTTACATTTTCATCAAAGAAAATTACTTTATATTACAAATAAAATCACAAAAATTTCGGAGACTAGAACAGATTAATTGCATTTGCATTAATTTCTATGGGAAAAATTGCTTCGGTTAACGAACGGAGTCGCGGAACAGATTAAGTTTGTTAACCAAGGTTCCACTGTATTAGCCAATTGATAGCATTATCCATGATTATACCTGATTCCACTAAGTCAATATTCTGGATTTACAAACATTTTAAGTGTCGTGATGGAGACAAAATTTTAAAATTTGACCTAGAATGGAAGATATCAGGGATTGAAGGTTATTCTATGTTAAGTCAATGGAAAAATTTACAAATGGCATTGTTAAAAATGTTGACAAACAGAATATTGACTGTATATTCTGATATAGGCATTATGCATTGACAATACATGCATTAATATGATAACTTCATATTAATGCAATGTACAAAAAATATCTTATACAATATACAATTTACTTTTGTTTTTGATATAAGTAAAAGTTGATTTTGCAATTAAGATACAGTGGAACCTCTATATTCCTCATTAATTTGTTTGTAAGGATCTAATGAATATGGAAAATGACAAATATAGAAACAATTTCTCTCATAATAAATAACTGATATTCAATTAATCTGTCCCAATCCTAAAAAAAAAATACAAGAATAAAAATTTTGTTGTTTGTAAAACTTTATTGTATGAAATAAATACAGTATAGTGGTAGAAGGGGAAGAAGAGTAAGGTTATTATTGTTTAGAAGAAGATATACCATCAATTAAAACATTAGGTAATTCCAATTATGATCTCGGCATATATTCTTTGGCTAAGTTGGAAACAGTAGAGAGGTTGTGGCTGAAATTTTCATCTCTAAAATGTGAATGTCGAACGCCACCGTCTTGTAAGCCTAGAAGTTTGACAATGGCATTTGGAACGTCATTGGAATAATTCTGGACATTCCAAATGCCACTGTCAAACTTCTAGGCTTACAAGATGACGGCGCTCAACATCCAACATTCACATTTTAGAGATGAAAACTTCAGCCGAAACCTCTCTATTTTGTCAATTTTCAGACTTAGCAATAACTTTTTTTTTAATCTCCATTTTTGTTCTAACAGCTTTCCTTTTTTACTGTTTTTCTTCCATGTGCTTTGTTGGAGACATTGGAACTTCAGTTTTTGAAAATAATCAATGCGAGAAACCAAGAACACACACCAAGACTGCACAGAGCAGACTTATTAACTACAGCTAGCTGACATAGTGTTGCCAACTCAAAATTCAAATTTATAGCTAAAAATTTTAATAAACATATTCAAATCATTTGTTTCCATTAAAATTGTTTGATTTTTTTATAGCTAGATAGCATTATAAAAATAGCTAGGCCTTTATAATTTAGGTAATTTGCATAGCTAGACTGTTCATAAATCCACTAAATCTAGCAAAAAATTAGCTAAATTGGCAACATAAAGCTAAGATGGTTAGCTGATTGGCAGGAGCATGCAATTGTAATGTCACTACCGATGTTGGGAATGACGATGAATACAGAAAATACTGACTAATATGGGGTGGGGGAAAAGTCATCAAAATGTGATGAATATTGAATATTATGAATATAGAGGTTCCACTGTATTTGATTTTGCAGTTAATATTTTTACTACATATTTATATAAAAGTAATTTAAATTTCATAATTCAATGGAAATAGTAATCACTAATTTTAATAAGTTGAAATAATTACCTTTAGTCAGTTTAGGAAATATTGCAGAAGCAATTGAAATATGCCCTTTAACAACTCTAGTATAGCATTCCTAAAGGATATACTCATTAAAAATAATTTAAATAATTTTCAAAATTTAATTTTTAATGTTGAAATTATTACTTTTTCAAACATTGAAGGAGTTCCAAAATGCCAAGCTCTTGTAATATCTGTTGTTCCATCTCTAGAAAAGCCTTTACTTAACATCTTTTTAATAACATTTTACAATTTTTTATAATTTAAAATTTATTCTTACTTGTATTGCCCTCCAGAATCACATAAATAAATTTCATCTATGTTAATTACACGGTTTGTCTCTTTTGATGGCGTGTAATGAATAATGGCACCGTTAGGACCTGAAGCCGATATTGTTTCAAAACTAAGCCCGACAAAATTTTCTTGTTCTCTGAAATTTAAATACAAATAATTTAATAATAAAAATTTTATTTAAACAGTTTTAAAATAATGTAGGATATTAGTTAAATACATAATTTAAAATTTGATAAAAGATTAAAAATGTTTGTGGGGTAAAAGAAATTAATTTAATTATACATTTATTTTGTATGTATTTGTGATATAACATTGATAAACTGAGAGTATTGACTATATATGCTAATATATGCATTATGCATTGACAAATACTTACTTAAGTAAAAATAAATTTGTACTTAAAAGTAAATTTAATTAAATTATTTTATCTTTTATAATTATTGAACATAATAAATCTGTTTTTTCTTCTAAAACAGCCATAAATTTAATGATGTTAAATATTAAATTTTACAAAATTAATTAAGAAAGGATAATAATAATAACTCATATTTCTATAACTTTTCTATTTTAAAGACATTTTTATTTTTTTAATATTCAAATAAATTTATTATTTATCTAAGGATAGTGACTGATGGTAATATATAAATTTTTATTCATGTTAATAAAATATTATAGTAGTAATAATCATATCAATAAACAAATGCTTTATTTTTCATACATGAATATTTATGTTCAAACATTAAAATATAAATTATATCGTACTCCTATATTATGTGATTAATTAAACTGTCAGCAAAACTGATTATAATTTTTTTCACTACAAACAAATATTTAAATGATTAGATGGTATAAGCATTGATAAATCTTAGTCTCTGTTACCAGTATTTTAATGGTAGACATTAGGGTGGTCCATGCTTAAATAACAAAAAAAAATTTTTTAAGTGGAAGTCATGCCACTCCTTTATTTTGTTACACCTACCATTCCTATTATGTGTTCGAAATTTCAGCCCCCTTAATTATATACAAGGGGTGCTCATCGACTTTGAAATATCTTAAATTTATGAAAAAATCCTTAAAAAGAATAGTCAGGATATTAAGTAAAAAACAAACTATGTATCAAAAGTAAGATTTTTTATTCAAATATAGTATTTAAACACACAAAATGTTATAAACAGAGCAATACTCAAAATAATATTAATTACAGTTCTTTTTCCTCAACCTAAAACTAAGTTCGTTAGCACTTTTTTGGATGTTTCAGTAGAAACAATCTTTCTGTTCTGTTCAACGACAAGAAGTAAAAATTGCTTTTCTTCCTCATTCTTAACGAGTATTGTATTGTAATCTGCAAATAGTTTTACACCCCTCTCTGCAGTGTCATTAACCACACACAAATTTCCTATGCAACTTTTGCCTTGAAGGTAATCAAACATTGTCAACCCCAAGTCTCAGGAGGTAATTGGAGAAAGAGTCCTTTATGTCTAGAACTGAGCATTTTCAGCATTCTTTGTGATGCAAAGGCTTTTAATGTGGTTTCCGTGGATAGTTTAGCAGTCACCATGTACTAAACAAGAACCGCCATCAACATCCATTCTTTGAATAATGGCCATTTTTTCGCCATAAGACAGCTTGTTAAAAAATAAGGCAAAGGCAACTAGCTCATCAGACAAGTACAAGTGACACTCTAAGACACCCCTTGCTGCTGCACTGGCTTCGTATGATTTTAATCTCTTCCAAAGTTGCAAGTCATTAATCGGTGCATCTGCTGCCAAAGGTGCTTTGATCCAAATCTTGGTGTATATGAGTGAACCGAAGCTAACAAATCAAATGATTTGTTTTTCTTCTCTTTTGGCTAGCTTAAATGCTTGTGAATTTCTCTTAAAGAGAAAAATCTTCATAGCATACAGCAGTTTTGCCATCTATCAAGCATAATGTATTGGTCCCAGGGCATGCCAATGAATCCTCGCAGGTGGTTAGTTCAGAACAATCATTGTGAGCTCTATTAGCTCGTTGTAATCATTGTAAACTTGTTTTTCTCCAGCTACAGAAGTTGTAAGACTCAAGTGTTTTCAGCAAACTGTTCTGCACTAGTATTGGAGTCAAGACAATCATAGTGCTCTTTTGGAAATTTATCCCAAACATCACCGAATCTCTTGAATAATGGAATCATAGGAAAGCTTGATGGCCCAAAGCACAGTGTAAATATTTTTGAAAGCATTATTTCAAACATGTGATGATGACAAGCAAGCCATAAAAGATCACAGCCTGTCTTTACTTATAGGAGAGTGCACGGTCCTTGTTGGCAACCATTGTTAGAGGCAGTAGTGTCAAGCAACCACAAAATCATCTTCTTGCTTATCTTTTAAAGTGCTATCGGCACTCGAAGTACTACTGAAGCTGAAATCAAGTTCTAGTTCTTGACTTGACACTACCGAAGTTGAAGCATTACTTTTAGCGACCTTTTCTCTTAATTCTTCAGCTCTTTGTTTTTATTTTACAGAATGTTCTTTGGTCTTATCCAGCTTCTTGTCAATCAATGTTATAATCATCTTACACTCATCTCTTTGATCAATGAGAAATTCTCTGTCTTCTGCAATTTTGATTGAGTTCATGGCATTTGCATGAGCAATATCAAAAAGTTTGTCTAGCTCTTCTATAAACAAATTCTCTCCATTTTTCTGTACTTCCGAATATCTTTTTATTTTTCTTTAAAAGCAGCCATTTCTTTATGAATTTTCAATGCAGTGATTTGGTTGTCTGGTCAGAATACCAGATTTTCTCCACACCTCGAGGACTTCTTTAATGAGTATATGCGCAGAATCTTTCCCATTTTTTTGATTCATTTAATGTGTGATGATAACAAAGTAGAACTTGCCGAAGAGTTGGAAGTTGGTTAATCCTTACCAATGGCTCAAGATCCTGACATCCAAGTAGAAAAATGTCATCTTTTTTTCGAGTTGATGAACTCATTTTAATGCACTGATTCACTCACAGACTAGTAAATAAGTACCAAAGTTTATGTATGTTCATCTATAAAACTCTTTAACAGTTGTATTTAAAAGCACATTTGATTAATTTAACACACGAAACTGACCTGTAACAAAAAATCAAGATCAAGCATTTTTCACAAAAATTTCAAAAACAGCACTCAATTGAGTGCCCTCTTCTGCTAAAGCTAGCCAACTGAAATTATACAATGTTATTGCTATGGATACATATTACAAATTTACAGGGTGGCCAAACTGAAAAACAAAAATAATTTTTATGGACCACCCTAGTAGACATACATAGCATTTAAGTTTACTGTATTTAAAATTCGTGTAATGTGAAAATAATAAACAAATCAGTTCAATAATTATTACTTTTGTCTTATAATACTCTGTGCAGGTAAATTACCGCCATTGATTTGAAGTCAATTTGTTCTCTGATGTGTTAGCTTAGCATGTATAGAGCTTCGATAAAAGCAGGCTTAGTGTTACTGTTATTTTGTCAAGGATTAAAATGTGTACAAAAATCAAAAATCCTGCCAAATGTGAAGTGTTGTTTGTTTTCTAAATGTGAAGAAAGTCTGTCCTATAGAAATTCATAAGCAAATCATGGAAGTGTATGGTGATCACATTATGAATGAAGCAAGTGTGAGAAAATGATATTTAATATTTAATCAAGGAAGATAATATGTGATCACACTCCACTGCAGCCACTCAAGCTGTGCTTCAGAAATTTGGTGGGACATTTTCGACCACCCACCATAAAGTCTCAACTTGGCCTCCAGTAACTTTCATCCCTTTCCCAAGCTGAAAGAATTTTTGGGTTGATTTGAAATGGATGAGAAATGAAAGCTGTCACTAACTGACTGAAGAAACTGGAGGTTGAAGTCTATGACAAAGGAATCCAAAAACTAGTGTCACACTACAACAAGTGCTTTAATTGAAATGGTGACTATGTAGAATAGTAACTGGTCTTGTACTAATTATTTAATAAAACTTTTTCCTAACATTACTGTTTTTTCCTTTTTCATAGCCAAATGTTCTTTACTTTCTGGATGCCTCTCATTTTTTTATTAAGCTTTGATCACAATTACTTATGGAAACATAAAAATTACTAAAGTTTATTTCCATTAATTAAAATTTAATCTATATATATATAAACGAAGATGTTTGTTTGTTTGTTTGCTATGCATGCCTAGACCATTGCTAAGAAACTTGACAGTTACATTCAAATACTTCTAACTTAGATAATGTTGTCATTCCACCCCAAATTATTGACTAGATTTCTACATAATGAGTAATTTCTGTCTACATTTGATTGCTGGCTTTACACACAGCACCATCCATTGGAAAAAATTTAACAAAATAGTTAACTAAATATAATTCTTACAAAAAAAATATATAATTTTAAAAAATATATATTATATTCACTGAATTACTACAACAATGATATAGCACAAAAAAGATGTGCCATTACACCACTACTGCAACAAGTAGCACATAGTACTTGCCTGTGTGGAGTGTAGTAGTGTTTTGCCTCTGTACATCATACTTATCCTGTTAGCAATAGAGTTATGCCAGTTATGTATCTAACTCCATTTAGGGAAAATTTTAAAATTGAAATAACAAAACTTGCAGTACAAATCGGAAGTTCATACATAGTTAATCTGGCCCTCTTTCTCTTACGATCTCTACGTCTAGTCTAGACTTTCATCTATCTAACTCTGTTCTTGAGATTAAAAAAGGACAGACGAACAAGAGTGGGAATTTATAGGTCTACAATTTTTTCAAATTGAAAATAAGTACCCTCCAGTAACAGAGTGGATAAAACCATCAAACACTGGTAGTTGGTTGTCAGTTTGTGCATGGCCAATGGGCTGGCCACATGGAGTTTTCTGGGTTTTCTTTGCATTAGTAACACTTCAATTGAGACCAATTTTACATAAATGTCTTTCCTGGACGCACCCTCCTTGGCAGATTATGCACGTCATGTTGCTGTAAATAAATAAACCAAACCAATTTCTATAAATGCAATATTTACAAGGATGTGCTTAAATATCAGAAAATCTGAACATCCTGCCTCCTCCCCTAATTTCATCTCTCTTTCTTTATTAACTCATAAACCATAGCCCCAAACTTCTTTCACTAATCT